ACACATCACACACACATGATCACAGCAAGTGACAGTGGCTCTTGTTTACCCGGCCCTCCCACCCTCCCTCAGTCTCCTTTCATCCTTTCCTTCTAGTCTGTCATGTTGTGTGTCACTTCCCACAAATGTCAGTGCCACCGTGGGACAGTGATTAATTTTGGTGTGCCTGGCAAAATGTCTTCAAGATGTTTGTTTGGGTTGTCTTTTACCACCCCCTTTGCCCACCCCCGCTCTCTGCACGTCTTGGAGTTGTGGGTCGAGAGTGGCAAGCCCCCCCTCCAAGCTTCACACCCCCGATCCCCCTTTCGCTGTCACGGTCTACTCTTTCGTGGGGGGAGGAGTGCCTTCGTCGAGGGACAAAGGCTACCTGAACTGACAGAGATCGTCTTTTCCGACCCAAGCTATTTTTTTGTCACTCCTCACTACCACCTCTATTTGCTGTCTGTTTAGTGTGCGCTGCTGCTGTATGATTGGGAAAATCTTGACCCAGCACTGGGGGGGGGTCTGCAACACTTCACTGTCAGTGCAGCTGATTAGCTTATCACTCACTGCACTCGGAGGAAATACATCATCATTCTGGACAGGGATCCCCTAGTTTAGATTCCATTCTGTGCTTTCCTTAATACAGAATGTGATCGCCACGAGACACTTTGTCCCCACTGGAATTTCACCCTTGACTCGCCAAAACCATTCCTCTGTGGTTTACAGCTTTTTCCTGCTTTTATTAAAATCTGAACAGATAGATAACTTGTTGGAAAGCACAAGGCAAAAAGTCCGGAAGGAAAGCAAAGTGAACCGTCTCCCCAAATCATTCCTTTCAGCTCACTCAACAAAGAAAGTGAAACACAAAGTGGAAAATGTGCTTTGGCTTCCCCACAGTGCAGTATCAGGTATGGTAATTACTCTGCCATTAACATTGGGAATAGTTAATGTGTATTAATGTGTTAATGGCATGTTAATTACTGTACATGCTAGAAAGGGCCTGCAGGCAATTCTCTCAGATTCTTTGTGCCATGTGGATGTAGGCCAACCTAAAAAAAAAGCCTTTAAGAACATCAATGAAAGAAGATCCTTATGTTTCATTTGTCAGAACAAAAGATTTTTAATGGCAATTTGATCCAGCTCCCAGCTTCTTCAGCTGAAGGTTACTGATCCAGGCGCCACGACAAAGAAGATGATATGAAGTCAAAGAAGATGTGAAACACGGCGGCAGTGACACTGGCCTCTTTGTGAAATGGATACTCTAAGCCCTTTGTAGTCTCTGGTGTGTTTCTTTGGCAGGGGGGTTTAATAACATGGTGGATTAGAATCCTTGAATCCTGAGTGCCAAGCTCGAATTAAAGCTCACCTTGGATGAGCCTCAGTAACGGGCAAGACGCTACAGTTTTCCTCCTTCTCGTCCTCCTTCCAGATGCTTCTTTCCTCACACTAGACTGGTCCCGGCTTTAAGAGAGATGACCTTTGCAAATATTGACAGAAAATAAATTCTGTTTCGATTAGTTAGCTTTTGGAGACCTTAGAGGATCAATGCAATTAGATGAACAGACTGTCGATGCATGTCAGGGGTTGTTCATTGGAGGTGCTGGATAAGAGAGGAGCTGCATTAGGTCTAGGTTATGTGCATTGAACTGGGAGTTTTTGGAAAAAGATGTGGGAAAAAAATGCATTGACATGCTAAGATTAAAAACAAAATCCAAACAGGACGCATTAACTTATTCAGACAGAAAAAAAAATCTGTTGCCTTATTTTCTTCCTTTGTATTGTCTTGTGGCTTGACAGTGCAGTCAGAGCAGCAAACTGAGGTGGAGAAGCCCTGAGCCACCCCTTCCCTTTTCAGCAGGCCACATTAACCCAGCAGGGCTCTGCCTTTATGGCTCTCCTGCTCACACTTCAGTGATGAGAGTAAACAAGCATCGGGCCAAAGGTCAGCTAAGCCCACAGAATAAAAGAGGGCACAAGGGGAAAAGAGGTGGGAGGAAAGGAGAGCGGCCCGAGGCAGTGCTCAGATCACTGTCAGGGCTTCAAGCAGGGAATGATGTACGAGACAGCAGCCATGAACCGGAAATGATCATAAACAGGGAACAGGGGAGGGTATATTCTGTATATAAGAGGAAAGAAATGTGCTGTCTGTATCTGTCAAATTTGCTTGTTGTTAAATTTGATAGTGGGTGAAACCTATAAAAAGTGAAAAGATGAACTGCTCCTGTTTGATAGGAGCAGATTAATCACTTTGTCGTCCTCTTGTCTCATCTTAAGAAGAGAAATGAGGAACAATCAAACTGTATATACATGTGATTTTTCCAGCTACCCCTCCTGTATTGTTGAATGACAAATGAGGCCAATTGTGACATAATTATTTGTAGGGTTTCTGAACTAAAAAACCTCCTCTACAGCATTTAATGCGCTATGTAAATGAAGTGAGCAGGCATCATCATCAGGGCAATTTTAAACAAGCAAAATGTGTAGATTTTCTCATTTTTGACTTCCCGTTGCTCCAAGGTGACTCGACTTCCGCGCTCTCCCTTTGCACTGAGATTAATCCCACTTTGACTGTGGAGGTGGATTAGAGCTAAAGTCGGGTGCCCAAACTTGTCTTAATACCCATATCATCAGACAATAACAGGATAAAGATTTGAGCAAGAAAACCAGCATTGCAATGCCAGAATGTGACTGTGGAGTTTCAACTTACTATACAGATTTGTCAACCACACAGCAAATTAAAGATGCTATCTCACGCGAGGTTATATTGTGGAAGTTGTGTGATGATGCTAAGCTTAAGCAGTGAATCCTAAATCTTTAGCTCTCCGAACAAAGGTGCACAGAAAGAGACAGCCAGACAGAGATATGGATAGTTTTTTTCTTTAGCTTTGATTTTGTCTGCTTTTTTATTTTTTTTTATTTTTTTCATGAGACAGATGCACCATCCCTCCCAACATGTGTTATGAATGACCAGCCTGAGCTGCTGTGGCACAAACACACCCTAGTGGACTCCTGCTTCTCCGAGCAGCAGAGTAATCATTTTTATCCTGCTGATTTCCCAAATAGAAATGGACATCTATGATAAAAATGTCATGGCCACTCCACATGTCAGTGAACTAACAGGATTACATGTCACTTTATAATGTCTCGCTGTGTTTTCCTTTGCTGTGAATGGCCAGAGTATTGCGCACAGGAACGTTGTGGTAATATATGGTAAGAGACAAGTAGCTCTTTATGGTCTGTGATTATTTAGTTTGAATGAAACCAGTGATTTATGCCCATTTAACTGAAAAGCCCTGTAAATTCCCTCAGCTGCATTTCCCCTGGATTCAGAGTGAGTGGAGTGAAAGTGACAACTGGGTTTGGAGTGGAAATGTACGCTCCGTCCCAGAGTTATATTTAATATACCTGACATGAAAAACGTGCCTACCTACTTACCACCACCCGCAGCACAAAGAAAAGTGCGGCCTGCTGTGCTCGTGTTGAATCGGAGAGTGGGAGTAAATATCAAATTAGGAAAATATGAACTGTTGTGGCAGATAAACCACCAGCTATTAGGCCACGTTGCGATATGTAGCCAGGCATCTGGTCAATCAACATATGAATCATGTGACATTTAGTTTCATGCCACACATTCTGGAATGGAAACAGGGAAGTCTGTCCAGAGCGATAGCTTTGGTTAGAGTTGTTCAAATGCACTGTGATGTGGCTGAGGGTTAGTGGAGCAGCGGCATATTGTCCACTCGGATGGTTTGGCTCCGTGAGCCTGATGGAGCCTTGTCCAGCATCTCAATGTCTCCAATACAAATAGCCACATTCATCCACTCCTCTCACACCATTACACCCAAAAGACTCAAAGCCAGCCGATCCATAAATAGAGGCAAATTTGTGTTTTAGTGGCCTTGCAGACAAACAAAACACCAACAGAGATGAAAACAACAAGAAGGGTGACAATATGTTGCCCTTTTTCCCTTCAAACCCAGAAATGTTTTTATGAGAAAGATGTAAAGAGGAGAAAGATTTTTTTTACTCTAGTATTTAGCAATGTTGATGGTGAGCAGGGTCAGACGGTCAAAGCATGGTAGAAGGGCTTCTTTGATTGCGTGCCTACTGGCTGACACAATAGAGCCACTAATCTCCTTATTTAGAATCCAGAGGCTGGCCCTATCTTAATGAAGCTGTAATGAGCTGTTGAAAATCCCTGAATTGCGGGAGGGATTATTGAATTGAAACAACTCTGGTAATCATAACGTTCGAGTAGCCACTCAGTATTTACTGCCCATTGACTCACATTTTTATCCACTTACAAGACTGGATTGCACACCCTTGTTTTTTGCCGTAATTCTGACCTGCAGTGTTTTTATGTTTGTTTACTCTTTGGAAAGCCCAGTACTGCGGTTGCATTGCCGATGCATCCAAGTGTGCTCGTGTGCTATCTGCTGTGTGATTACAACGTGTTGACAGGCTGGAGAGACTGGAAACCAGTGGAAATAAACAGCAGGACCTCAGAACAAAATCAGAATTCATGAATGAGCACTTTGCATAGAAATGACTTTGCACTCACCTTGATGTGTGCAGATTTTTTATTTCACCATCACAGTTTTTATTAAATCATAGTGTGCTGTACAGTCAGGTATGCAAAACAACCCACAATTTAATAATTATCACCAGATAAATGTAAGGAAAACTGTAATAAGTGTGAATTCTCAGTAAATAAGTGTGTGAAAGACGAAGACATTTAGTGGAGGTATAGTTTTCTGTTTAGCATCCTTTCACAGACTAGAAGTGCCACTTCACCATTGAGCATTTGTCAGTTTATAGATGTTGCTGTCATGTCAGCCTTCCCGTACACACAGTGTGCAGCACAGTGTGTAAATAAAAGAGAACAGGCATCGACATGGGCGAGAGGAACACGGCACATACACAAGAGGCACTCAGTTCATACCTGCGAGGGAAAAATCCCAGAATGCCAAGCACTTGATCTCTTTTTTTTTTTCTTGAACAAATGTTCCAGTTTTAGCATGGTCTTCTGTTGCATTAAAAAGCGCTTCCTTTTGTGTTTGTGTGCTGCTGCAGGTCTCAGCATTCGTGGTGCCCAAGAGGAAGACCCTCCGGATCCTCAGCTCATGCGTTTAGACAACATGTTGCTGGCGGAGGGAGTGGCGGGGCCGGAGAAAGGTGGCGGGTCTGCCGCTGCTGCAGCCGCAGCTGCGGCCTCGGGCGGGGCAGCTGACAATTCCATCGAACATTCCGACTACAGAGCCAAACTCACCCAGATCAGACAGATCTACCACACAGAGCTAGAGAAATACGAACAGGTAAGAACAGATGCGTAAATGTATATTTAAATGTACCTTCAATGCTATTACACATTCATATTCATTAGGTAGCCATAGTGGAATTGTGCCACTGAATGAGTGGAGAACACAGTAAAAATGAAAGAAAATCAGCTCTTTAAATAAACTGCTGTGTAATTCACTGTAGTTGATTATGGGGATCTAAAGGAGTGCCCTCATCATCTATGGTAAATGAAAGTATGATCAGCTCCTTCACTTGAGCACTTTGAGCCCGCCATTAGACACAAAGGCATTAGGGGTGAAAATAGAAGGTGTAACATTGATGCCTCAGCAAGCCAGTGAGCTAAATTAGACTAATTTACTTTGTGCTCTCTGAGAGGAGGCGTGAGGGCACACAACACTTTGCCTAGAGTAAATGCATCTTTCTTAAGGGTGTTTCCAGGTTTTAATTATCTAAATGTAAATACTTAACGAATTTTACTTAGAGTAATGAGCTAAAGTGTGCACTACGTAAATGAGTTATTCTAATTAATCATGTATGAACTACTGGTTTAAAGAAAAGCTGTTTAGATTCACTCTGCATTATGGCACAGCCAAACTGCAAATCTGCATTTGTTCAAAGGTGACCTCAGCTATGATGTCATCCAAGTTACATGCAGACAAGGCACTTTGTTTTAGCTTTGAACAGTGGTTTACAAATTGTTTAGGGAAAAGTGAAAGTAATTTTAGAAAATCTACAGTTTTTCTTTTCTTTAAGTAAACAAACAAACTTGTGGGCTTTTATAAACTCACCTTGGTTGTTTTGTTCTACTCTGTTCCTTTACAGGCTTGTAATGAGTTCACTACCCATGTGATGAACCTGCTGAGGGAGCAGTCTCGCACACGACCCATCTCGCCAAAGGAGATTGAGCGCATGGTGGGAATAATCCACCGCAAATTCAGCTCCATCCAGATGCAACTGAAGCAAAGCACCTGTGAGGCTGTCATGATCCTGCGCTCCAGATTCCTTGATGCCAGGTCAGTGGATTGTGTGCATTTGGTGCAAACTTGTGAGCACTTTGGGTATACAGAAGCGATTGCTTCACTGTGACCCATATGAAAAAGCTCAGAGGGCAGGGTCAGTTGGAGACTTTGTGCTTGTTTGAATTTACTTTCTCTTTTCTGGCACGGCACACAGTTTGAGCTCTGCGGAGATGCATGATTTCAATTATGTCCATGTTCCATGCATTATCCATTTTCATGACAATCATGCCCTCACACCTGAGAGCAGTTAAGAGCAAATGAAATGGGGACTGAGTCGTGTGTAATGGATGGGGGGGAGGTCATCAGCAGGTGTTGTGGATTAATCTAATCACTAACAGTACGATGCAGCATGGAGCTATGCTGAGAGCGGCACAAGCTCCGGCCAAGCCAGCCAAGCAGAAGCACATTTGCTGCTTGCTGCCCGGGAGAAGCGCAGTAAACAAGGCAAAATAAGCAAATGCTCAACAACATGATAAGTAGTGCCCTTGGGAGGGCAGGGGACCCAGATCTAGTTAGAGTCTGGTTGTTTCTGCTGGAGATCCCCGGGGCTGTGGCACTTCAGGAACAATGCTCAACTGTGCATGCCATGATTTCTATAATGTACCGAGATGCATTCCGACTGGGCTTCGCACTCCATCACGAAGCCCACCCATCCGGTGCTCTAAACTCTACACATTACACGCTTGGACTGGAGATTGGAGACCAACAGACCAAATTAAACAATGTATGTGTTTTGAGAGTGTGTGGGTTTGTTTGTGCGAGCTTGTGTACATCAGTTTATTGGTCAGAGTTTTTTTTTCCACTTCAAGCAGGACATGATATTCTGCTCCTGAAGGCCCTTAGAGCACATTCCTCATTATTTTCACCATTTATGTGTGAGATTGATTGCGCAATTTGTGCAATCCAAATGGGTGAGTTAATGCTGGTCTCACTAATAGGCTTGCTTGGCCCCGCTCTTGTTTTGCTCCCCACTCAGGCGGAAAAGGAGAAACTTCAGCAAGCAGGCAACGGAAATTTTGAACGAATACTTCTATTCTCACCTCAGCAACCCATACCCGAGTGAGGAGGCTAAAGAGGAGCTGGCCAAGAAGTGCAGCATCACTGTTTCCCAGGTGGGTTTCCCTCTTCTAACAGTAGCTGGTGGGTAATCAAGGCGGGGGAAGGCTAAATCCTAGAGGGATCATTACAGTAGGACACACCACCAAGACACAATGTCCTCTTCTAACCTTGACATTGTGACTGCCTAATGATGCTTCAGTCAAGGCAGGTCCCAGTCAGTCAGAGCAGGGCCACAGGGAAGGGAGGCCTATATCATCTTAGCCTCAATCAAAGCACTATGCTGTCCTTCCTTAGCCTCCCTTACGCTGGGTCCCCTGACATTTTCCCCTCTCATTCCCATCCAACATGTGTACTCTCTCTGCTGCCTGGTCACTCACTCAGGTCATAAGCTGGGGAGAGAAAAAAAATGGCATCATCCATTACTTTAAGAAAGCATTCATTTAAAGGCTGGTGCTTCCAAACAGCAGATGATACTGGGTTTATATCTGTATGTTTGCTCTTTAAGTGACCTTCCAGGAGCTGAAAAATTCAGCCATATTTTACACTTAAAGAGCCAACTTTCCCACTTTTTTTTTTATATCATAGCCTCCTTGTTGAGTAAACCTGAAGGCAATATCTCTCACACCTTACCCCCCCACATCCAAAGTATTATTTTCCTGTGCTCTTTTTTTCTGTTATGATTGTGACTACTATCCTCTATTGTTCTATGGTTGTCCTCATGAGACACAATATCATAGAAACATGAATCTATACAATAATCTGCAGTGTTTTGTCTGTGTGGGGAGGGGGTGATGAGGGGTATATGGAGTGTAGTCATGAAGAGTCAGATACTGTAAAAGCCCATTCTTTTTTGCCTTCAGGGGGTGGGAAGCACCATCACAGTATCACAGGTATGTCATAACTTCTCCTGATCCACTGTTTTCATTTTCTCTGTACCTCCTTTGTTTATGTATGTAATAGGTTTATAGTTTTCCACTGCACAGAATTCCCCCGTTCCCCCCCATCCCCTCCCCTTCACACTACTGGATCAATGCTAATGCTAGAATACAGTATGTGAATCTTGAATTAACTTCTGAAAGAGAGTGGATGACAATATTTAACATTTACATCCCACCTGTAAGTCGCACAAGACCACAGCCTATTTTTGATTAGCTCATATTTTTACACGATACCCATGTTCTCACCATATTATGTGTGTACAGATGTTTGACATATAATTTTGATTTGCAGCGATTGTTCACCACATACTTTATTATTCTTGTTTGTTGTAGAGCGTTGCCTAATTGTGTGGTCTTTAGACTCCTCAGTCAGTGCTCTGAGTTTATTTACCGCCTTCCAACCTCGTGGTGAATGTGCTTTACATTGCTGAAAGACCGTCGGCCTTTACATGCTGAGCTCTTGTCTGTTTTCTGAGTGTGTCCAACAACAGGCCACTGTACACATTCCCTTGGGAGCAACTCAGTCTATGCTGAAATTAGAGGGCTTTTAAAAATTCACTTGAACTCATCTCAGTCCGCATTAGTGGCGCACTCCTCGATAAAGTGGAGGCCATGGCAGACGCTCTTATTGACTTTTTCAGGCTCATTTTAAGTGAGTAACAAAGTCAGAGGCTTGATATAATGCCAGGTGCAACATAAGTATGTCATCCTTCACCGTGGCTCAACCTTTCAGAGTCACAAACAGCTCTCCCTGGTCACTCTGAGGGCACGACAAAGTCATTTTTCAAACACCCCCATATTCTTTTAGTGGTGCTTTGTTGATTGCACACATAGTTCATTAAGTAAACGCCATCCGCTGCAAACGGTGAGCCGATATCACTCTGCAGCCTTTCTCGATGCATCATCGCTGATGAAATACCCTGCATCATTTTAGCAGGGATCATTTAAAATGCATGTGACACGGCCATCTTTCCTGAGTGAACCCACATTCTTGCTGATCACATGCAGTGTTATTTTTATTTATACAGTCCTCTTAAAAGGGTGTCATATATCCTTGGACTGAAATTTCTAAATGTGTACAATATTATATAGCTGTTTCTTTTACCCTGTTGTATTGATTAATCCTGCGTCTGTGTGGCAGATATCTAGTACAGGAATGTCATCACAATGATAATATTTCCTCAGTTGGGCCTTAATGCAATATTTCCCCTGTCACTTTGCATGTGCACTGCACCAAAGGCATGGTAGTACATGGTTGTCGTTTGTGTCAGATATTTCAGGTGAAACATTTACAACAATCTAATATAATTTGGACCCTGTTCACCTTCTCAATATTTATTCCTGATTGGAGAGCACCTTTTCCTTAAAAACAGTTTGGCGTATTTTGAGTGAGTGTTTCTTATTAATTTGATCATTTTAAGACGTGCATTTTTATCTCTGAAGTTATAATGCTTTGCCATATAATGACCAGAAAGCTGTATTGGCGTTAAATATGCTGAACTAGTTTAAATTGTTAGCTACAGCTTTGTGGCCTTTCTCAAGGGCATTATTGAAAGCAGTGGCATCATGTCTATGCAATGGGTCAGCATGGTCATTATATAGTTGATGCCTGTGAGGCAACTCATGTCAAAGCCAGGTTCTAACCAAACATATGACTCAAGTGAATGCATGGTCTGCCAGTGAGATAAAAGACGACTAGAGGTGTAGATCAAGTCACGCTGCACACCTTCCAGTGCTATAGAATTGTTCGATATACAGCTGAATCTGAGAATTATTGAAACCAGAGTTCCGTTGACAGGGAGAAATATCTGCATGCATGTTAACCAGCAGTGGTGTGATGTTTTGAAGATGAGAAGACATCCAGGCTTCTAACACAGTGTGGCTTACAATGCAATAAATACAAACCTTGTGGTAAATCGGAAGAACAGGAGAAAAAATGTTTAAAAAATCCCAAGTTTAAACGGTTGATATTTTGTGAAATAATCAGTCACATCATAGTTCAGAGTTTGCTTACATTTGGTTCTATTGCTGCATGTGGTAAACCAGTGTACAGTATTTTTCTGTGGAGTCACACTTAATGATATGCATATGTCTTCATTTTCATAAATGTAGACCTGTTTAATACACTACGAATATTTGTTAAATTAAACAGACTGATCAGCATTAGAAACAATTTCCTGTGATTTTCAGGGATTTCTGGGCACATTTTGAGCTGTCTAAATGAGCAAGAATATTGCACCGTGTTTGGCCCTACAATCCACTATAAGCAGGTTAAGTAAAAAGGATGATGGCCAGGGCTTTCATTGCTTCCAATTAAACCTTGCTTGTTAGTTTAACCTCTAGGTAAACCCATCAAACAATTGATGTCAAGGAAACCCTGCCAACTGTGGGCCTCGCCTGAATGGTCATTAATTTTAATTGCCTAGATATTAAAGATTTAGAGCACAGAGACGTGCAGGATAGAAATGATCTGATGTCCTGCAAATCCAGTCAGTTTTTACGCCACAGCATTGGCGGGCTGCTGGGGATATTAAAATTTAAGCACATGGGTGGAAATTAAATAAAGCGTCATTAGGGGCAGCTGCTCTTTGGCTGGTCCAGCCGTGGGCTGCAGGGTCTGAGAGGGGGCTGCAGCACAGCGACAAGACACTCTAATTTATAGGACCATTAAAAACAAGCATCATCTCATTATTATTCCACTGTTATTGCGGAGCGAGCATTCACACATAAGGTTCACTCGGCACACAACTTTTCAGTGCCCGATGTTGGACATCATCATTTCAGCAAAATAAAGATTTTCAAAATCTGACTCTACTCACGTTTTTAACTCTTTTTTTTCTCAATTTAGCCTTGTGCCATTCGAGGTCCTTTTCACCCCATTAAATATGTATCTAAATCTTTAGTACGCATCAGTTAAACATCACTGCACCAATAATTTGTTCACATGGCTGCAGGTCCTTACCCTTTAATACTTATTTTTGAAATATTTCAGAAGCTGTGCTCCACATCATCAGTCATGCATGCACACTCACACACACAGACACAAGTGTTTCCTTGATACATTGTTTTATTTATTAAAATGAAAACATGACCAATTAAGAGAAAGTTCATGTTTGATTATGCAGTGTTGTGCATGTTTAGTAATTGTCAAATATCAGCCTTTAACAAATATTTGGTTTGTTACAACCTATATTCTAAATATCCTTTGTTGCCATACAATAATATTTAATCATTCAAAAAAATTTATTTGCATGTGTCACTCAAAGAACTGGGATCAGTGAGCATTCTTAAGGAGATAAAATATGACAAAGAAATTACAAAATTTGTAACCTTCACAACAAGTGCTGATAGGAGGAAATGCAATGCAATGCAATGACTGTAACGTCTGCGTGATACAGTAGGAGCCCCTTGTGTTTTAGTTTTGTCAGGAGACAGATATGAGAGCATGTCATGCTCCCATCCATGAGAAGACACAAGTGGCTCCTGATTATGGCTTAATTAGCTTATGTACCCGGCGGACATTACTGTAGGGGCTGGGAATTGGGTACTTGATGGACCCAAACATGACATCTTGAAACAATCACACTGCTCAGTGCACGGTGCTGTGACTGCTTGACGTCTGACTCCTGTGCTCCTCCTCCTTCTGCTCTCGCACACAGGTTTCCAACTGGTTTGGCAACAAAAGGATCCGGTACAAGAAAAACATTGGCAAGTTTCAGGAAGAGGCCAACCTGTATGCCGCCAAGACCGCTGTAAACGCAGCACACGCTGCAGCCGCTGCAGTGCAGAACAGCCAGGCCAACTCCCCTACCACTCCTAACTCCGGTAGGCACTCCAGCACAAAAAGAAAAAAGCTAAAGATCTGCCCTCTACCTCAGTCCTCAACCTGCTGCCTGCCTGCCTCACTCTCTCATGCACCATTCACACTGGCAAGAGTGACAGGCTCTGCTCCCATCTTGGGGATCACAGTGTCTCCTGTCTATAAGACAGTTGATGCCAAGCAAACTCATGCATAAAGAGAACGTTCCTGACTTGTGAACCGAGAACACATGTATTTTTGGGAAATGGGAAAAAAAAAGGAGAAAATTCAAAATCATGCCATGGGATTTGTTTTCCCTTGACTTTCTGTCAACTTCCTGTCATTTTTAATGTAATGGTTTGTAGTCCCGCTGAATGGCTTAGAGATCTTGCACAGAATGTGGTTTAACATAAATGTTGTGAGCTCTTTGCCAACTGTAAAAAATGGCATCGTGTGCAGTTTATATCGAGTAATACATAAAGCCTAAAAGATCATGTTTAGTATAGTTTAATTAGTGATGTATTGCTGAGAATGGATTAGGTTTATCTGCGTCGGGATGTGGTAAGCTTATGAAGTGGTCCCTTTTTCTTGCACCCAGGATTCCAGATGAAAGATGAAGAGTTTCAGCTGGATTCTGCAGAGAGCAAAAACTCTCTTTTAAGCAACATGTTTACTGGTACTGGTCTTTTCATAAGCTTCTTATTTCCTTGTCATTTACCATGTGATTCCTCCCTGAAATTTTTATATTGGAAGTAGGTGATGTGGAACAATTGGGAGCTTAAGCGACCAACCACATGTAGAACCGGTCCCTTTGTGTCATGTGATTCTCATTTAATTTGTGTTCACCCCATTCGTCAAACGATCCGCATATCGTCTTCTTCTGTTTGGTTCCTTGCTTCGCTTCTTCCCCTTTCATATTTGCTTGCTCTGTGGGAGTCTTTCTTCTGTGTGCTTGTCTGCCTGAGTTGGGTCTGTTTTCTCAGACATGTGCGTGCTGTGCGTCTGTGTTACTTCTGCGTGGGCTTGTGTGTCTCTGCTTTTCCTTTATAGCCCTCTCATGTATTCAGCTACTTACATCTTCCCTTTCCAGGTTCTTCAGGTTCTTTTAGCCTCCCAAACTCTGGGGACATGTTCTTGAGCATGCAGAGTCTGAATGGGGATTCTTACCAAGGGGCACAAGTCGGAGCCAATGTACAGTCACAGGTAGGATCAACAATCAGGGACAGTTCCTGACAATCAGTGCAGAGAGCTGTCCTTGTCTTGCCTGTGTACTGAGCCATCCACAGTGCAGTCTGAAGCACTTAAAACCAAAAATAGAAAATAAGAAAAAGACGCTGCCCATGCATGGGCAGTTCAAATTACCAGGCAGAGCCTCCGATAACACCTGACTGACTGTAGTGTGTACTGACTATTTCGCTTTGGATGGAATATTTTGGAAGCCAAAATATAATCCCACACCTCTGCTGTCATGCCATGAAGCAATCAGCTGGTTACAAATATTGTGTTGAATGCATTTGGCTTTGACTTGAGCTCTTGGGTTGGTATTGGGTTTATGGTACGTTCTCCCCTTATTATTTCTGTACTCTGTATTGCTGTCCTCCTGTCTCATCTTATTATTGTTTGCCGTCTATGTCTTCCATCCTGTGATTTTAATGCTGCTACACAATCTATAGACTCCACACATTTGCTACCAAAAATCTATGCCTGTATATTATAAGGGTAAAACATTTTTTAAAGTCCATAATGTATGTGTTGTTATTTTCACTTTTTGTTAATCAGTTTACAGCCACTATGAAAAAATCTATTAGATCTGAGCATGTTTGTGACATTAGATGAACCTCTTTTTTATGTTGAGAATCAGTTAGTTGTGTTATTTGGTACATTTGCAGTCTCAGTCTCTCTTTTTGGTTCCACACTAGTTAACATATTTTGCTTCACTGAGCATTTGTACCGTTAGTTTTGGACAGCTGCGAGACACCCAGCTGACCAGTTTGTCCACCTTGTCTGTCCCTTCAGGTGGATACCCTGCGCCATGTTATCAGTCAGACGGCAGGATACAATGATGCTCTGGGGGGGAACACCATGTATAGTCCGCATGGTTTAAATGTAAGTAAAGGTTTTACACATGGTTTTTACAAATGAAGGCTATTTATTGAAAATAAATATGTTGCATGTTTAGATAAAAAAAAATTATTATATAGCATTATGGTGCACAAAATTGTCTGCTTTAGTGTACATTAAGTCTACAAAAGCACGGCCCTTTCAGAGTATACTGGACAATATTGACTCTTCATCACCTGATACACATTTTACATGAATAATTATATTAGCATTTCTACTTTGTTTGACAAAAACCATAAATAAGATTAAAAAGGAACCTTTCACTGCACCATATCTGTTGCATATTAGCTGTTTTGCTATGCTTCACGGAATTTTCCATAGACTTATCTTCCTGATAAAATATGAACATGTGATCGCCCGCAGCCTTTTCCAGACATGAATTCCATCTTCCCTGATGAGGTTTGATATGGTGCCTTTTTGTAAAGCAGCACATAATCTGAAGCTATCAGAGTAAAGATTAATTTAGTTGATGAGGAAGGATGAAGAGTGAGGGAGGGAATGAGAGAGAAACAGTCTCCGACAGCTCTGTGTGTCTGCACTCTGTCAGAGCTGCTCTCTTTTTATTGTTACTGCATGCCTCTTGGGTAAAACACACACGTATTCTTAGTCTAATATTATTTAAATCTGACAGTCGGAGTATGATATTACATTTACAGACACATTAAAATAAATTAAAAAATGTATTTGAAACAAAATCAACCAAATGTTTTTTTGTAGTTTTCCAGCATTCTGTGCTTTTAGTGTCATCTTGGCTATGCTGTGGCCTCACTGCTGTAAGCTCTTTCCACATGTCAGCTCCTAGCAAGATCAAGTGTTTTTCACTTTCTCACAAGGTTTCTCACTTCCATGTGCAGTGTAGACCTGTGCCTACTGGCTCACCACAGCTCAGTATCAGCTCCACTTTAGTCAGGCTGATACATTAACTGACACTACGAAATAAGAGTAACACATACACAAATAAATTAATAAAAAATCCAGTTAAGAAATGTGGCGAGTAAGAAGCACGGCTCCTTTTTTTTTTTTCGTAGCAACAACCCAGCTGACATCTTATATATATATTCGCATGGACTAACCTTTAGCTTTGTGGGTGGTGACGTAGAGGGATCCAGTAAAGGCTAGGTCATGCCTGGAGCAAAGCATAGTCAGACTGGCTAAGATGGCTCTCCTGGAGAGGCTCTGCCTTGTCACTTTCACTCAGCTCTCTCCACCTCACGGAGTCGAGCCCTCCCTCCTCATGACTGACAGGAGAATATGTAGCGACAAGCTGTCGGTTGCTGCTGAAATCTGCTTAGACACTGATTTCAGGGACCGTTCCCATTGGTCCAGACATGAAACAAATCTTTTTCTATGTGTCTCTTTGCTGATGCCACAGTAATACAAAAGACTGGACTAATCATGTGGCATCACTGCGTGTGCAGCAGTTTAATGTCAGTTGACACCTCGGCAAAACCAGAAATTTCGCCTTCCTCCTCTATTCCTTACCCATTTTCTCTCTGTCTTTGTGGTGTCTGCAACGTACCAGGTTCGTATAGCAGAGTGTGGTTGTAATCCCTGCCTTTTCCATTTGTGTCCTAGGCTAATGGAGGATGGCAAGACGCAACAACTCCGTCTTCTGTAATATCTCCAACAGAAGGGCCTGGCAGTGTGCACTCTGATACTTCAAATTGATCCGCTATAAATGCATCCCCGCGTCAGGCGGGCCATGGACTAACCTGCTGAGGTTATCAAAAGAATTACATTTTCCCCGATGGATTGGTTTTCTTGTACCTTGAAATATTCCACACCTATGCTGCACACATGCAAGTGACATCCTCCATTATGAACACCAAGTGTTTCCTGGTTTAGGGTTTTCTTTCTACTTAAATTGTAATCGCCATGCTTTGATTTGTTCGTTGTAGGGGTAACGCGTACACCCGTACCAACATAAACAACCTTGAGGTGTAAACTATCAGGATAATTATCTGCGCTCAGCTCAAAACACAAGATGACTTTTTGTGTCGGTTCAAATGCCCATTTCTTTGATTCTGAGTTTGATTACTAATCTCATTTTTGATAATTGCTTAATTTCTTACAATTAACACAGCTGTTTCTTAGACTCTTAACACGCTCGCAATCTTGTTCTGCGACTCAACAATGCGGCTGCCGACAGCTCAATGGCAGCTTTGTCGTTACTTTCAAGATTTATTTTTGCCTTACAGCTGTATACATCAGAACAAGGAAATGAATTTCCCAACTCTGTAATTAATTGCTTGGCTATAACATGACACTATTCCATATTTTATCATGTGATGTTTTGTTGTACATATGTAAACACTTCTTTTTTTTTCTACTGCTTATGGAATCAAACACCTCCATCCACACACACAAACACACACAAATATCATTGATCATGCCATCATGGCTAACAGGAGTCGGCCCCATTACACAGGAATAGTTGTATATAATATACGTTAAGAGTAATTATACATCCCACCAATCAATAAAAAGCTGTATTACCTCATTCATAGAAAACAGTCATTTTCAACATTTCTGTAGCTTAGAGTGCTCACTTACTACCTCTAAACAATCACCACCATAGTTTCTTTTGTCCTTATTTAATGTTTTTATGTAGTTATTTTGATGACATCTTGGAACACTGTAAACTCTCCATTCTCTATGTAATCTAATGTATATTTTAATCTTTTAATAAAATAATGTTGCGGCACTGCAACATAAAATGTTAAAAATAATTAAAAAAAACAAATGATCACAAAATTAATACCATGGAAAATATAGTGGGAAGGGGAATGAGTTCTTGGTGTGTGGCTTTTATTGGGGGGATGCGATGAATATTGTCAATAAATAAAAACCAAACAGTGAAACTGTTGTAAATACTGAGAAAAAAGCAAACAAAAAAAAACATTTTGAATGTTGCTCATCTTGTTACTAAATCATTAAAAAAAGAAAAAAAACACTATAAAAACTGTAATGCATAGAGGTTTCAGTATTCAGAACTGTACATTTCCAACTCTGTTCAACAGGGTTCAAGACTTCTTTTCTCTTTTTTCTATCGTATGTGATTCTGAAACTGAAAAGTCATGACAAATGATTTGTGGCAGTGATTCTAATGTATTAAAGATGTTTAGTGTTGCTTTCTAACCAGACTACACCCTGGACAGAAAAGTCTTCCTTGTGGTAGTTGTGTAATTTCAACCATGAATAAACCTTTTGCTTTCATGACAGTAAGGTGAGTGCTTTTGTCTCCTCTTATTCCTTTGTTGATTAAGTAGGGAGCTCTTTATACTTTCCTCCATCATAACCAGCATCATGCTCATGTAAAGATGCTTTGTCTCTCTGTTAATGGTGATCCCGGAGTTGATCTTTCCCTGCTTTTTAAATCATTGTTTTAGTCGTGAAAAAAATAAAATAAAATAAACCAATAAATATCAACTGTTTAGGGTAGTATTTTTACTAAACTTATTGCATGTGTGTGAATATGCCTTTTTTAATGGAGGATAGAAGATAAAAATCCCTCTTGCTGTTACTGTGAGCTGACATGGTTAGTGCAATTAACTGAAATGTCAGGCACTTCTAATTCAGGCTCTTTTGTCTGTCTGTTGTGGAAAGGCTGGCTTAATGGATCATTGGTTACCAATTCCACATGGAAATTGACATCCATTTATTCTCATTTTCTCAGCAGAGTTCTTCATTCCCATCTTCAACCTCAACTTGTGCCCAGTGTTTTTATCAGCACTTGTGATATGCAGAAAATAATGCTCCTGTGTATGCAAATGAAAAAGTGCAAGTATAATTTCATTCCAACATATGACAGGAAAACAAGAAAAGAGACATATCAGCACGAGTTTAATTCAAGTACAATGTTGCTGCCGGGATCCCAGGAGAGCGAATTTGTCCACTCAACCAGTGCAGAGCTTCACTGAACACCTTTCTTGAAAAATCTTGTCTTTATAGAGATTTTATATGTCACTAGCACATATACCCAAATACATGGAGATGCCATTTTTAACTGTATTCATGATAAAAGAAAATAAGTAGCTCTTTTGATCACAGCTCTGCATACCACTATTCTTTTATTGTTATTAAAAAATTCTAAAGGAACATTTTACAATTGTTCCCTCTTGTTTAATTTCACATTAGCTTTGCTCCAACCTAATGCCATTTCAGACCATTCTTTAATGATAAAATGGAGGCTGCCTAAATATACCTTCATCTCCTTTAAGGAATTATGATATCATGTGAACTTAAATTTAGAGGGCGCAGCACTGCCGTTTGGATAACGGGCTATTTGCTCATTCTACCTTTACTAATAAATACATTTGTTTCCCCAAGACTTTAGCAACTCGATTGTAAGTACTGCACTCCACAAGATTGGGCTGAAAACCTTTTGAATAAAGGAGTAACATTCTCTCAGATTATGCCTATTAGAGGCTTTTCTAAGGTTCATTAAAGACGACATTTTCTAAGTAAAATTCACCATGAAAAGCATGCATCATTAAATATGGAAATTTGGAATTATATTAGCGGTATGTACCAAGCTAGTGCCAATTAAATTAGAGAAAGATATCATTTATATTATTAAGGTGGAGTTCATATTAGATTAAACATAAAATGCAATTTTGTCATGGTTTGATTTATTGCTTATAGTGCATTGTTCATAGACCCATGTTATAACATATTTCAACAGAGTGATTGTTTATATTAAAATGTAAAATGCTGTAATTGCATCCGCTACTGCTAAATTACATTGGTATGAGGTTCAAATAGAAATATATATACAGGCAAATATCTGTATTTCATGCCTAAATGTGGCTCCTTATGGAGATGCACTTACGACTGCCTCAAAACACACTGTTGTTTGAAAACTTTATGCTGTTCACTTGATATCCAATAGAATCACTGATAACTTCCATGTAACCTTTTAGACAAATTTAAAACAAACTGCCTTGAGAATATGTCATGTGCTGCAACTTTCATCAAAGGTTGACAAGCTGTTTGAAAACAGAAACATCAGATTGCAATAATTCTGATTTCATATAATAATAATATTTTAAAAATAGAAATAATGTGAGGAAAAAAGAGAATTATTTCTTTACCCGGTGAAGTCAGATTGTAGATGTGTGGGAATCTTTGAGTTTATTCCTGCAGCATTTGCAATTAGACGCAAAAATTCAATTTACATTTCAGTTCATTACTAATGTGTCTTGTGTCTGTGTATCTCTCTATATTTTCATTCATATGCCTTGATCATTAATCCATCAACCAACAATATATCACAGCGACTATAAGCCTGTTTATTTATAGTGAACTGTCCTAGAGGTAGTAGTCAGTGCTCCCAGTTTCTCGAATCAGACTGGATTTCTTTGCTGCTCAGAGGATTACTACAATGTGAAAGATTTCTTTAAACATCAAATCAGCCAGATTTTGGACATTTACATGATTTTTTTGCTTTTATGGGAATTATCATTATTATTATGATCATTTAAAAAAGTTTCCCTGTGGTTTGAGTGAGACTTTATTGTTGATTTTTACACTTTTTCACATTTGCATCGTACAGTTACATCAGGAACGGTGTTGCAACATCACTAGTGTTCCGTGGAAGAAGGTGCAGTGACAAAGTAAACAACAGCAGTAAGCTTAAATGTCCTAAATGTGACTGCCCTACATGGGAGAAACATCTTGTTTAGTTGGCCTCACACCTCAGAAATTCTCTCTGTTTCTTCGGACTGAGGGTTCATGGACTGCTGTTCACCGCAGGTAAGACGATAATATTTCACGCATTCCCACTTTGAAAAAACTTTTTTTTCAAATAAAAAAAGCTATGGAAAAACCTGCAACATGTTTACTATAAACAGAAATGATGGAAGTGTAATTCTAGATGTCAGTTTTGTCACGATTTTGTCCCGATTTTGCATCAAACCATTACACATTTACATCAAGCAACTTGTTTATTGCATAACACTTTGTCAACTTGCTAAACACCTTCCCCTGATAATGATTTAGCTCCGTTTGAGTTTGCTTCAGGAGATGCTTAAGGAGTCTGAGACACGAAGCTGAGAGCAGCGTATGTGGTGTGATTTACTGAGCAGAGGTATTACAGGCCATAGACTCCTTGAACTAATCTCTTCAACAGATCAGTACTATTAAGAGATTAGTTCTGAGTGGCCTTTGAGCTTAAAACAGTGGAGTTAATTAACATTTGAACCCAACTCTCCTTACATCTTTAGAAGTTCATTTTCAATTTAATTTCAACCCATTCAGCCATTTTGCTGGTGGAAGATCGAAGAGTTCTCATCTCTGACCAGATGATGGCTTATTTCAACTATTTGGGGGAATAAAGCACATGTTTGCTTTACCTCCTCACAAACACAATGTCAACACGCAACTACTGCCATCTTTAAAGTATGACAAAGAATACAAAAGACAGAAAAAAACAGCCAATAAGATAATTGTTGTTCTCTTTCTATTTGAGGCTGTTATGTCTAATATATCTCTATAGATGCACAAACATAGAAACACACTTATGGACCTGAAAACATGGCTCTGATTGGTTCATACGCCGGTTACTCAAAACACTGATGAATGCATTCCAAACTTTAACCATAAACTAGCTGACTTTTGAGGTAATTGCTTGTGACTGTAAACTGTAATAAATTAGAAATGGTGTGCGT